AAGCTGTAAGTTCGGCCGGGCAGAACTTTGAATACCCTCCACCACTTGGAATGATTTTGGCAACTTTCAAAAAATAAAATCAGTTAAAATCTTAAAAATACCAAATACAGCCGTCACATTAGGGTCAAAACGACTATGTGGACCTGCATAGGCAACTTTTGTCATAAGCCATTACAATATTCAAATGCGAAACTTGAAAAAAAAGACAAATGAACAACAAATTAAAAAGCAGTAAATTCGGCCGGTCCAACCTTTTAATATCCTCCACCATTTAGAACGAATTTGGAAATTTTCAAAAAATAAATCCGTCAAAAATTCTGTTAAAATCTTAAAAATAGCGAATATAGCCCATAGGTCTATACGACGTGGACCTACATAGGCATTGTTTGTCATAAGCCATTAGATAATTCAAATTCAAAACTTGAAATAAACGGTGAATAATGTATCTGAAATCATCAAAATACCGTATATAGGGAGGTACCGTTATATCGGAGCTATACGAAGACCTGGACCTGCATAGACAATTTTCTGTCACAGGCTGTAGCATCCATTACGAACTTCAAATACGACATCTCAAACAATTTCGGTGAGTATTGTACCTAAAATGGTCAAAATACCAAATATAGGAAGGTACTGGGAGGTACTGTTATATGGGGGCTATACGAATATATACTTTTCGAGGAGTTACAAACGGAATGACAAACTTAATATACCCCCCATACTACGGTGGAGGGTATACAAATTCTATCCGAATTACACCACAATATAAGGATTTATTGCTAATTCGGATTTATTTAACCAGATTTGCCATAAAAATAGATCTTCTCAAGACCGGATTGATTTAAAATGTATATCCTTCTAAGGGTGTATGTAGACAAACAAGCTTAACCCACTATATCTAATAAACTCAAAGTTCTAAACTTCAATACGCTAAACGTGATTTAAGTCAACATTCAAATTGTTTTCAAAGGCATTTCTTTATTAATTTTTATATAAAAATTGTTTAACCAATGATCCTCTGGGAATAAAAAAATCAAAACTATTCATTATATTGCAAAATTCAAAAAATTAAGAGTTGGAATTGAACGTAAATTCCCTACTCAATATTTCCTAAAAGCTCTTAAAGAAGAATATTGTCAGCTCTTATCACCTTAAGGAAGTGAAATATTTGCAATATCTTTGTAGAAAATAAAAAAATCTCAAAAATCCAGTCTATATTTAACCAAGAAATATAATTAGAATATCATATCGGATCATAAAACCAATTTTATTTTCTTTTTTTAGCACTACACCTCAATTAATTTGTCAAATTTAGATACCCCTAAACTATAAATTTAAAATTCAAATCCTTCACATATCTTCATATTATTCTTAGTTTGAATAGAGAGCATTGTATGGGTGCATGTCCCTTCATTCAAGTAGCCTTGGCTTTCCGCTAAACGCATCTATGGCTATGTGTGTGGATCATAACCTTTAGTTTTCCCATCGTACAATTTGTTTTGTAGCTGAACTTTTAATTTTTTCTATCGCAAAATGGCAAATCTTCACAATCCACCTATCATTCTGCCCTCGTCATAAATTTCAAATGCAAATTTTAACACATTTTGTCTGGCGGGAAAATCATTAATTATAATTAAGTGAATTGAAAGACGACAAATTGTTGCAAAAATTGCACTTCATACTTCTTTTGACAAGGAGTCTTAATAAATTGCATAGCAATGAAGTCCTACGAAAAGTAAAAAGTGAATAATTATGCCATCATGTTGGCACGTCTGTCCTCATGCGAAAATTTCAGTCGACTACATCGGTAATATCCCAAATGGTCATGAACTTCACGAATAAATGTATGCAATGTTTTACCCTGGAGAAGTAAAGCAGGGATATGATGACAATTTGCCGTAAATAAATTATCATGTACAAGTGGCTAGGCAGTCATTATATTTTAGTTCACGGTTGGAATGGTTTACAGTTCCTTATGACTTTTACGGAATGTTTTACTGTTTATGTAGCTTAATATAAAAAATAAATGCTGCTATTCCAAAACATTGACATACATCGAGCATTTTCTGTGAAGGGATTTTCTACTCCCTTGGAAGCCATGATGCCAAAAAAGCCAAATAATTGAAATATGTGGTCACGACCCCAGAAATAGCTGAAGTAATATTTTGAAAGGATAGGAACTCTATCATAAAATAACCGAAGTATAGAGCAAAATATGGCTGACCTAAAAAAGTTTGAGATGTGAAGTTTGAGGTGATTATTATGTACTATTTCACTGATTGAAGTCGCATATGAAACAAGTAGGTCCACGTTTTGATATGAGGTGCATACAGTTGTGTCGGCCATTTTGCTTTATTTGAATGTATTCTCATTTTCCAGCTGAAGTACGAAATATGTCCTGGGGTTGTAAATCTAGTCAGGAAATATAATCATTTAACATCGCACTAATTTTATTTTCCACTTTTTACACTTAGAAAAAATTTACAATTATAACAAAACTAGTTTTTATTCACATTTTTATACCCTACACCACATTGTGGTAAGAGTATTATGTCTTCGTGCATTTGTTTGTAAAATGGGGAGGTGGATCTTCATAGAATTACTTTATGAGTCGATTTACGCATATCAGTCCGTCCGTCCATGTATTCTTGTGCAAAAATGCAGGTCGCATTTATTACCCCATTGAGATGAAATTTTTCAAACAAAATTTGTTTGGCCCAAGGACGAACCCTATTGAAATTGGTGATAATTGGATCAAATTTAGATATAGCTCCCATATATCTTAAACTGATTTCGGGTTAATTGTGCACCAAATGACTAATATAAGTCCAAATGCCTAGCATTTTGGTACATCCAACCAAATTCAGTCTAGAAGCAAGTAAATCAAAATCAGTTCAGATACAACTATAGCTCCCATATATACGTTTCAACCGATTTGACGCTTGAAGACCCTCACATGCGTAATATGCAGTCCAGAAGAATGATATTTGGTACCGGTCATCAAATACTGCTCGAAAATACCTCTGTCAAATTCTATCGAGATCGGTTCAGATTAGGATATAGCTCCCATATATTTATCCGATATCAGGTTTGTTGTGCACCAAATGGCGAATATCAGCCCAAATGACCTGAATTTTGGCAATTATTTCATTCTACAATTAATTCATTCTATTAACCAGTACTTCAAATTTGGTGTAAATCGGTTCAGATATAGCTATAGCTCCCATATATTTGTTTTATCCTATTTTTGGTTTAAAGTCCCTCACAATGCATTCCACATCAATGATCCTTTGTATCATATATCAATAACAGTTTTTAAATTAGTGTAACAAATTTTGTGAAGATCGGTCCAGATTTGGATATAGCTCCAATATATATCCTCAACCGATGTACGGTTAATTGTGCACCAAATAGCCAATATCAGTCTAAATGACTTGAATTTTGGCATATCCGACCGAATTCAGTCTAGAAGTAAGTACATTAAATTTGGTGAAAATATATTTGGTACCAGTTATCAGATACAGCCCAGAAATACCTCTTCCAAAATTTTGTCAAGATCAGTTCAAACTTGAATATAGCTGCTATATATATATATATATATATATATATATATATATATATATATATATATATATATATATATATATATATATATATATATATATATATATATATATATATGTATATTACGCATGTGAGGGACTTCGAAATTTTTTGCCATAGATTGTAGTGCACATTAAGACCTTCCAATATGAATTTTGAAACGATTCCGGTGAATAATGTTGCTGAAATCATCAAAATATCGACTATCGGGAGGTACCGTTATATGAAGACTATACGAAGATGTGGACCTGCATACAAAAATTTTTGTCATAGGCTGTAGTACTCCTTACGAACTTTGAATGTGAAATTTGAAATAATTCCGGTAAATAATGTCGCTAAAATCATCAAAATACCGAATATCGGGAGGTATCGTTATATGGGGGCTATAGGAAAACGTGGAGCGACATGACCCATTTACGAACTTAACCTGCCTACTGGTAAACTATGCATGTATGCAAAATTTTAGCCTTCTCTCAATTCGTTTGTAATGTAGCGTGATTACAACAGAGAGGCGGGCAGATAGACAGACATCGCTACATCGTCTGAGAATTTTACGAATTAAGCTATATATACTTTGTAGGGTCTATTATGAATATTTTGAGGAGTTACAAACGGAATGACAAAGCTAACATACCCTCCATAGAATGGTGGAGGGTATAAAAAATAGGCGTGGTCTATTTTCCTTTCCGCAAAAACAACCAAAACAATGATCAAAATTTAATAAAAATATTATCCAAATCAGTCCAGCCGTCCTAAACTGATGCAATTATCAACGAACAACATTTGCTATTTATATACAAATACTTAAAAAGGTAGACGTCGCCAAATAAATATTAAGTGTTGGGGATATATGTACTGTTCTCTATTTTCAGACCGATATCTTCATTATTTTGGCAAATATTATTTTTTAAATAAACCGGAAAAGTGGGCGGGGTCAATTTTTGTTCCCATAAAAACATGAGTTGTTTATGTTTATTTTAAGTAGTGTAACTAATGAGTAACTAAACAACCTCTTTTCAAGCATTTGAGTTCTCAGTGGAAAACTCTTTGAAAAAAATTAAGGTTTAAATAAATCGTTAAATGCACTACATTTTGTGTGCAGTAAATATATTCGTGGCACTCGAAATTTTTTCTTGCAAATACATATATCGGACTAAATTTTCCTTTCTTGCAATTGTATTGATTTTCCTGACAAATGAAATGTCCACAAAGTTATTCCAATCTGTTGTTCATTTACTTATTTATCTCGAGCGACAACGGAGACACGCATATTAAATTTTCCTCCGGGTGTTATTTTCCGCACAGAGTTTGTCAGCAAACAGTTCAAATTTGTTCAACATAATGTGTCACGGATGTGAAGCAAATTAATTCTGTGAATCCCGTTTTGGTGCACTTACCTTGGACTTCTTTCCAAACTCGATGAGACGGCTGTCGTTCGTTGTGTACGTGTGCATCAGTTTGGCGCCATCTTCCCACGGTGGCTTATTGTAGATGCCATCAACATCCGACATTAGAATGAGCAAGTCTGCCTGCACCTCAGCAGCCAGCATGGCCGACAAACTATCGTTATCCTTAATGGCAATTCCCTAAATAAACGCAAACGACAGCATAAAGAAATGAGTTAGTCAAGCCTTTCGGAATGTTCTTTGAAAACTGCGGCCACTACTGCCACTGGCAGTATTAGCCTGGCTAATACATTGTGTCATTAACTGAGACTTTCATGAGGTTAGTGGTGCTTCTATGGCAATGACAGCGGTTGCATTCATATTTCCTTACCTTCTTAGATCCCGCGGGAAGATCATCATCCACAATGAACATGGGTGGAGAAACGGCGTCGTTTGTATTTATAATGGGCACTATGTTCAAACTAATTAGCTCCGACAAGGTGCAGAATAAATTGTTGCGAGTCTCGTCATTGTAGAAATCTGGTTTTGTAACCAGGACCTAAATAAATAGTGTAAAAGAATAACATACAAAAGTTAATGACGATAATCCATTCAATAGTAAAAACAGTGAGATATATGAAACACCTAACAGTGGGCTCTATTGGTTATGATTTCTTGTGATGATTTGCATAAAACTAAGGAAGCAATTGGTGCGAATTATAACTGTTTCTTCACAACATACACTTTCTAACTGTTGTTATTTAAGGTCTAATTCAATGTAGAATCCTCATTATCTAAGAAATAATGCAGTTATTGTGTGAAATTTTTTGAATTTTCATCTTATTCTTACTGAGAAAAAAATAATTTTCCAACTATCAACTGTCAAAATTGTAATCTTCACTTACTCTCATTTACCGGACATTTTGGTTATACAAAATCGTCCGCCCGTCGGTCCGTTAGTTGTAATCATGTTAGATTCAAAAAAATAAAGATAGGAAGCTAAAATTTTGCACCGATCTGTCTTTTGTCTGCCGGCAGGTCAAGTTAGAAGATATCCACGATATCGTATAGCCTCCATATAACGGTACCCCCGATATTCGGTTTTTGATGATTTTGACCACATTTTTCAATGGAATTATCTGAAATTCTATATAGGTCCACCATATCGTATATCCCCCATATAACGGTACTTCCCAATATTCGGCATTTTAATGATTTTGGTCACATTTTTATGGAATTTTTTGAAACTCTACACACCCGGAAAGAGAATTGTCTATATAGCTCCACGATATCGGTTAGCGCTCATAAAATGGTGTCCCCGATATTGGGTATTTTGATGATTTTCAATGGAGTTAACTTAAAATCCACACAATAAGTTCCTTCTGAGTACTTAGCCCCCTGAAAGAGAATTGTCTATATAGGTCCACGGTATCGTATATCTCCATATAACGGCACCCCCCGACATTCGGTATTTTGATGATTTTAGTCACATTTTTCAATGGCATTGTCTGATATTCTACACAAGGAGTTCTCTGTGAGTACTTTATCCCCTAAAAGAGTATTTTCTATATAGGTCTACATTTTAGTGTAGCACCCATGTAATGCTACCCCGACATATTTGGTATTTCCAGGATTTTCGCGACATTATTCACCGGCTTTGCGTAAAATTTCGTGTTTGAAGTTCGTAATGGGTATTAAAACCTATGACGGAAAATTGTCTATTCATGTTCACGTTTTAGCATAGCCCCCATACAACGGTACCTCACTTTATTCGGAATTTTGATGATATTAACGACATTATTCACCAGAATTGTTTCGAATTACGTTCAAATACGTTCGGAATCGTTACTACAGCCAATGACAAAAAATTACGTCTTTGCCCATATAACGGTTTTCATTTGAGCGGTATTTTGCGACGGATTTTTTTTTTTGAATATTTTAGCTGCTTTGAAAAACTTAGCTGCTTTTTTTCTTGTTTTGATTTGCCTTACCAGCAAATGTGTTAATTAGAAATCGGTCTACCAACTCATTTTTTTTAACAAGGACGTATCGCGCGAAGTATGTAATTATTTTTTGGCCACTGAAATTCTATGAAATAAGCACATGGAGGTGGGATTAGTGTCAGAATAGAATCCTTTTGTTTTTGGAGATGATAGCATAATATTTAGGGGTTGAAATTTACCAAAAACAGAAAAATTTCCTTATTTTTCAGTTGCCCTCAGGTCGCAATTATAGACCAATCGACGCGGAATTTAGCATGGGGCTAGTTTAGGGCTAGTCAGAAGAATACCATTTTGGCCATCTGGCAATATTTAGCGGGTAAAAGAGACCATTACTTTTTTGTAAAAAATTAGAAAATTTCCACAAAACTGCGAATATTTTTAATTCAGTCGAAATCACAAATTCACAAAAATTTCACTTCTGACCGATACATTGGTGCTCATATCCATGATATCGTACAATCTCATATATAATGAAGGGGATTTTGTTAGGCCGCTTATAACTCAAAAACTGCTGGACGTTTTCTGCCAATTCTCATAAATTCGGAAAGGATTCTTGCTAGAAAAGGATTAAACATAAGAAAATCGCATTCACCTTATAACAATATGTTTTTGGATTATTATATTCAAGTCGCAATTATCGTCAGATTCTCAAGAAAGCATACGGATAGAATTAGGATCAGAATTGAAGCCTATTGTTTAGGCGATCAAATGAACTTTCCTGATCTTGAAGAGGCTCTACAGGTCACAATTAAAGACCAATCGACACGGAATTTTGCATTAAATTAAGGGGTAGACCTTCGTGACTTGTAGGTAGTTACTGATGGCAAAACATATTTTTTAAAGCATTTTTCGTTAAGCAGATTTTTGCTGGGCTGATTCACTGAACTGGCATATTTTGAATACAAGAGTTAATTTAAACCTTAGGTTTACGGACAGCACTACCTCTTTAACTTTAGGAACAGATTACTCCACGGCGATGTGTAAACTGCATTATATTTGATGTTGTTAATCTACGAACTGACTTGGTGAATTGACCATTTTACTCAAACTAGCGCCAGACAGATTACCGACAAAGCATAGACTTTGTTACCGATAAAAAGGCTTCAATTCTGACCCTATCCCTGTGATTTAAATCGGGTCACAATTAGACCTTAAGATCTTTTGGTCACAATTCGGTGTAGCAAAATATATATGATAATTTCAACTTCATTTGCACGAAATAGGGTGTAAATGTAGAGCAAATTCAGTGAAAATATGTGGATCTATGAGACTATGTGGTACCATTTCCAGAATGAAATGGAAGAAATAGATACATATGATAGTTATGCTTGAAAAAAGAGTTTTGAATACAAAAATTGCGATATTTCTGCTGCTGCTTTCAATTGCGGTAATGTAGCTACTTGGAAATTATATATTTTTATAAAAGATTGATCAAGATCTATCAGGATTATTCCTAAGAATGCTCCTTTTTTATCAAGATTTTTTTAATTGAAAATTAACACTTTACTTAGAGAAAAAAATTTAATTAAAAATTGAGTAATTGGATTGTTTCAATTACTCAAAGCCTTTGACTCAAGGTGTATTACATTTACAGAAACTTTAACATAAATAAAAGTGTTTTAGGGTATCGCATGGTTGGTCCCGCTTGATTGTAGCCTTTGCTTATTTGTTCTGCTATGATTTTTAGTTGTGTTAAATTAACCTTACATTTCGATTTAATAAACTTGTTTAAAGTACCATACATTTTAATTAACCTCTTAATGAAATGATGATTGAACCAATTATAATTGTGCTAAGCTTAGAATTTAAATCAAATGGCCACTAGTTTTGCTTTATTATTATAATCTGTTATTGCTAAGATACTTCAGATAGATTAACAATTGAACTTCTCGAATTACCTGAGCTATTTTCACACCGTACTGTGCAAACATGGCATCATACAGCGACATCAAACCAGATTGACCAACTGCAGCTGCTGCTCTAGGATCCAACAAGAAACCCTCCTCCTAATTAAACGGGGACAATGAGTTCACATGTTAAATGTTCACTTCAATTCGCAATGTCAGAGATTAATACTTACCGCTTTCGAATGGTCCTTGGGTGCAAGTGTTTCTCGCATGGACAGTGACATCAACAGTTCCTGTGTTAACTTTTGTTTGCCAAAGGCAACAGCACCGCTGGTAACCATCATAACTTCACGACCCTCCAAGTGACATTCTGCAACCTATGAAGATTAATATAAGTGGAAGTATGCGTAATTTTAATTATGTATGTAAGTGTATAAAAACATGTATGCACATACATACATATAAAAATATGTTTTTCTAAAGGTAGTAGGAAAGTATACACTAATGTAATTCTTATGATAGTATCTACGCTTTGATGCAATTAAAGTTAGCTTATATGGAAACTCTGGTAATGCGATGTAGTCGTTGCTTAGTTTGATGGATTATCATCAATGAAACGTCATTACGTCGTAGATTTTATAAGATTAAAAGAAAATAATCATGTTTTTTTTAGTGGAGCAGTGAAGACCATAGTGTTTCTATGATAATTCTATTCCCTCTAAGAACATTTTTTAAGACTAAAAAGAGTTTTTTCTTCTTCAGTACAAAATCGCGTTGTTTTTTTTTATTCATTTTCTAACCAGACATACTTATTCTGTTCTATGCCCTTGTATTTTGTTTGCTTTTTATATAATTTACAACAATATTTACTAACCTGCTCCACAATGGAGGCTAAACGGCCAAGGGCAAGGCCATGATTATCTTCTCGGGTGATAACAGCACTTCCCAGTTTTACAACAAGACGACGGGCATATTTCAATTGACTTCTTTCAGTGAATGTTGGCTGTTTCCGTTCCAGGCTAAGACGTTTCTCGGGCGCTGTAACCTAATAAAGAAGACAAACATAGAGCAAGTGATTTAATAAACATAATTGGAGGCCACATAACCTAATCAGCAAGGCATCACATCAATGAAATTTATTTCCCATGAAAAGATGAGCAAATGATGATAAGAGTGGTCGCTGTGGAATATGTATTCCCAACAAATTTATGTATACTGTGGTATGTAAACAAAAAGTTGGCGATACATTGTTGTTTTTTATTGTGAGGCAGAGACAGTTTTTGATATATCGAAATAAATTGTTTACCATAAAAATGACTTATAAATAATGTTTTGTTCCAGAACTGCAAGTATGTAAAAATGTTTCCTATGATAACCGATTTTTCATTCTTTACTTTTCGAACCATTTCTCTTGATGTTGCTGTTTTCTCCCGTCCAGTTCCTTGACGTCGGGCTATGCTACCAGCATCACGTTAACGTACGATGGTACGAGATACAAAAGATTTATTCACATTCAAATGCTGGAGTGCTCTAACGATAGCCACTTGTGGTTTTCCAGCCAAATATAAAGAAATTACACTATCACGCTTGAATTCCTTCACGAGTGGCTTAGAAATGACAGCAGCCTGAAGTTGGTTGAAGTTTTTTCGTATCACCCTGTATTATCCGATTGAAATGAAATTTTCCAAACAATATGTGTTTGGCCCAAGGAAGAACCCTGTTGAAATTGGTGATAATCGAATCAGATTTTGATATACCTCCCATATATCTTCAACCGAATTCGGGTTAATTGTGCACCAAATGGCCAATATAAGTCCTAATGACCTGAATTTCGGTACATCCCACCGAATTCGGTCTAGAAGCAATTACATTAAATTTATAGCTCCCATACATATGTTTCATACATTTTGGATTTTTGAGTCCCTCACATGCGTAATATGCACTCCACAAGAATGATATTTGGTACCGGACATCATATACTGCTCAAAAATACCTCTGTCAAATTTTCGGTTCAGATTAGGATATACCTCTCATATATATCTTTAACCAACAGGTTAATTGTGCACCAAATGGTTAACATCAGTCCCAATGGACTGAATTTTTTTTCCTATCTCGCCGAGCTGAGTCGATCTAGTTATGTATGTCCGTCCGCACGTCTGTCCGCCTATCCATGTTAATTTGTAAGCAAACTGCAGGTCGCAATTATGTCCCGATTTTCAAAAAATTGAAAGTGGAGGTGGGTCTAGGGCCAGAAGAGATGATCGAGATGCTTTTGGAGATGATCGCATAATATTTAGGGGTTGAAATGGACCAAAAACTTAAAAATTTCATAATTTTACAGTTGCTCTACAGCTCGCAATTATAGACCAATTGACGCGAAAGTTTGCATAGGGGTAGATCTTAAGGCTGGACAGAAGTCTTCCAGTTTCGATGGTCATGAGGTAATATTTAGTGGGTGAAATAGACAATATCATTTGTGTTAAATAAAAGTCAAATTTTTCATTATACCGCGAATATTTTAATACCGGCGAAATCACAAATAGACGAACAGGTGAATTCTGACCGTTGCATAAATGCCGATAGTAAGTAAATCGGATATATATAGCGAAATATATACAATGTGTATATACAAAGGAAGGGGATGTTAGTTAGATTGCTTATATATCAAGTATGGCTGGACCGATTTCGACAAATCTTGTCAATTCAGAATGCCCTCCTGTCATAAAAGTATAAAATCTAAAAAAATCGCATAAAAAGATGCCAATAATGACGTTAATATAGACTTTGTAGTGTTTTGTGACATATTTTTATTTTTTCATATCTTTTTATCGCATTTTTTCAGTCTGAAGTGTACATTTTGTAATGTTTTTTTCACCTTACAACACATATTGTAGATATTGTATACAGATTGCAATTCTCATCCGATCCGCAAGAAAATTCCATAAGGGTAGGGTTAAGCTCAGAAGGACTAGGCCTATTGTTTTTAAAGATGGGTTGAAATGGACCCACAACTAAAAATATTCCTTTTACAGCCGTTATAAAGGTCACAAATAGAAACCAAAGGACACGAAATCTTGCATGAAATTGGAGTTTAGGACAGCGTGTAGTATGGACCACTACTTTTGTGTGAAAATATACCAACATTTACATTCTACCGAAACGCTGAAAATAACTTGCAGGCAAAATCCAAAATACACAAAAGGCGAACTTCTTGCTTTTCAATGCTGATTTCGTTGATGAATATAGCTAAATATCGTAGACAAGCAAATCATATAGATGAAACTAAATGTGGGGATACAGAAGGAGATCTTGCATTTGGAGATGATCGCAAACAAAAAAAAAGTGAACTAAAAACAGAAAAATTTTCCTGATCACACAAATGAAACCGATCGACGCGGAATTTTGCCTTAGAAGAAAGTTAAGGACGGGAAAGAAGTCTAGCATTTTGAATGACTATTGGATTATATTTAGCTGTAAAATGGACCAAAATAACTAACGGCACGACGGAGTGCGGAAATATTGGGCAAATGTCCCCCGACAACAAGCTAAGGGTAACATCTGGGTAGGGCTCTATGACATCATTTCAATCACGAAATCTTCCAAAACGGATTTGGACATAAAGGGTGCTTCTAATATATTTTAGTGTTGTAGGGTATCACAGTTCGGCCCCGCACGACTATAGCCTTTGCTTACTTGTTTTAATATAATCCTTCTCGAAGTGATATCATGCACTGTATAGCAATGTTATTTGGCAAAAAAGATTAATATGTCCCCGTCAAATTTAGTGAAAATCGATTCAGAATTGGATACCCCTCCCATATATTTGTTCCCTCTGAAACCATGATATGATATGATGTACTTCAAATAAATTCTTTTGTTACGGGAGCTCTACTAAATATACATAGTGGTGTAGGGTATCATATAGTCGGCCCCTCCCGACTTTTGACTTTTATTTACTGGTTTTGTCTTGGTGTGTTTTATTTTACAAGGCATGACTAATTATATAAAAGCAATTACTTGGTTTAGTTCAATTTTTCAATCTTTTTTTTACGAAGGATCACTTATGTTGCAACGGCAGTTTGTTTCTTTTGTCAGTATCCTAATTTTTTAGATTATTCTTAGTGTAAAATTTGACAAATCAACATTGCCTTACAGTTGTTACTAGCTTGCTTTAAATTATTTGCTGGCGGCTTAATCCATTTTTGCTGAACAATTTTTTGCGTTCAATATAAAAAATATGAATATGCATATTAAAAAAAATCACGACATGTTTCAATGTCAGTGTTAACTATATAAAAAGTCGTCTTTGTTAATTTCAAATTGTCATGTACATGTCCATTTATTGTTTTAATTTAATAACTCCAATTAACCTTTTTTGCTACATCTGCTCTGGCCTTTTTTTGTTTTTGCAATGAAATTTGTGTAAAAACATATTTATGTATGAATGGATGCATATCGTGCTGGCATCTTTATTAATTTTGCATTTTAATATAAAAAGCCGTTGGCAATATTCATTTGGAAATTTAATTTATTTAAATTTATATAGATGCAAACAATTCTTGTATGGGAAACCGTTCAACTGTTTAAACATTGAATGTATGACTATTTAATTACAAACATAAATTGAAACTCAATTGATAAAATACCAAGCAACGAATTGAGAGTAAACACGCGAAAATTTCTGTCTGCACGAGCACGCGATTTTCTTTGGAATATTGTAAGTGGCTAGGAAATATATCTGTCTGTTGTATTAAAGCTATATGGGTTTAATACAGTTGGACGTTTTTTGATGGTAAATGATGAAACAATTTAAAACACTAGATGTTGTTCTATGAAATTGCTATGAATTATTCTTCTGGGAGCGGAAAATACTATTTCATATCATCTTGTTTTGTTTGGGTAATATTTATTTGCTAAAGCTAGATTTTTGGCGCGGCATGTAAATAAAATGTAAAATCGCACAAAATATCAATTCAAGTACAAACGCAATGGACCATAGACTAGTTTTCATAAAAAGCCAACTCACTCACCCAATTTAAAACTACTTAAACCGAATTTCCAATGGATATACGCATGCAAGTTGCAAAGTGTGAATCACATATGAATAAAAACAGATCAAGAACCTTCATTTTCAATGGAAAGAGCCAATGGCAGAACTAAGTCAGATGGACTACTTCCACATAATCGATCAATACGCTATTCATGAGCGTGCCATCGAAGTAAAAAAGCAGCTAAACTACGGTCGGGCCGACCTCCCTAAAAACTCCACCATTTGGAAGAAATTTAAAAAATGTCGAAAAAATACGTTGTAAAATGCCGCTTAATTGAAAACCGTTATATGGGAGGCATACAAAGAAGTGAGACGAATCCGATGAATAATGTAGCTTAAATCATGAAAATACCGAATACAGGGAGATACCGTTATCTGGAGGCTATACGAAAACGGCGATCGACATGCACACATGTGAGCAAAATGTAACCTGAATTCGTTCAACAGATAGCGGGATTACAACAGACAGACGGTCATAACTAAGTCTAGTTAGAATTGTATGGTGATCCAGACTATATATTTACTTTGTTGCTTCTAATATGAGTATGAAAGACAAAATTAACATACCTTCCATTGAATGATGGAGGGTATAAAAATCAACGCTCCAAACTCTATATTTGCACTGGCATCTGATCGTCATTTACTGTATACACTACAAAATAAATGTTATTACAATTTCTAATTGAAATAAAATTAATAATAAAATGTATTTTTAACATATTTCATATCGGTTCTAATCTGTTAGATTTACTAATCGTAAAAAAATATTATATCTCCATATAATCGCACCTCTTTATTGCCAGTATATTGAATGTTCTGATCCCAATTTCCATTCAACTGAGCAGTACAGGGTGAGATGAAAGAACTACAACCAAGTTCAGACTGCAGTCATTTCTAAGCCGCTCGTCCGACAGCTGTTAAAATTATTCAAGTGACAACTCATTATATTGTTTACAAGGGTACAAAAGCATTTTGGTCAGAATTTTCCAGAAAAA